AAATGAAACAAGATAATGATCAGCCATCAGATGAAAGTGAAGAAGTTAAATTTATTACTATTACTTTATATTACTATTATTTTACTACAGACCTCCTGTTAGACAAGAAACCTCTAAAGAGTGACCTCCTTAGGTTATTCAAAAGTTCTGCTGCCCATTATATGATCATTGGGACTGCACTTGATCTTGAAGTGGATGACCTGTTACCATATCCAGCAGCTACTACAAGCAATCTCATTCAAGTATTCAAGAGATGGATAGACTCCAATAAAAGAGTGACCTGGAGGAAATTACTTCAAGTTTGTGACGATTTTCCAGAGGAACTTGGAAGAGTGAAAGTTGACGTGGAACAATTTTTATCATCAGACAGAGCCCGTGAAAATTATCAAGAATAAATTATACATGCATGTACTGTACACGCACTTCCTAACATTTCATTATGCATTGCATTTGCCTGTGTGCTTAGTACATTGAATTATTATAAGTTAATTCTTTTTGTATCCTTCTCAATTAATTTTTACCATACATTTGCCAATGAGGAGCCATCATAATGCAACAACTGATATTTGTTGTTCATGCACTTTCTATGGAATATGCTTATTGGTGTTTTTGCTTGAAAGCTGAGATAATTTCTGGGCCCGCATAAATGCAAGGGAGCAGTCATTGGAGAAAGCTTAGTTCACAACAACTTCATTATTATAACTATTAAATTTTTATATGCATCAGGAAAATAAGATTAAGAATTCTAAAGAAGGCAATGAACTACATTGTAATTATTTTAATAGTCACAAAAATTAGACAAAGAATTGATACATTGATGATACATTTCATTGTATCCATCTAAGGTGTATCCATATAAGGTATATATGATTTAAAGCCAAACCCGCTGACTCCAACCATCACTGATTACTTTTAGGATAGGTTTCAATGATGTTGTAGGTAGTACGAGTGAAGTAAAACTGTGGGTCTGTGAAACCTGTTGATTGAAGAAGAAAGAACAATTCATCAACTGTATGGAGATGAGAATGTGACGGATTGAATGACATCATAGTGAGATCAAGAAATGACTTTAACTGAAAGAGAAATAGAGAGAGAGGGGGAGAGAGACAAAATTAAATTCAAGCATGTACATATAACTTTGGTCAAACATTAGTGTATTCAGACACAATCAATGGTGGCCATTGGTGGGAGTGTATTTCTAAAAAAATAATCTGTACCACTGAGTATACAATGTAGCTAAAAATATCTTGAAATTTTGCATCACAAAAGTTAAATGTCTTTATAACAATGTTTCACTCAATTAATTATCATTTTGACAAGAATACATTTAATCTCTCTGCATGGCTCCAGTGTCCAGTGTTCAGGCCCAAAGTTCCTGTACTATAGTACAGGAACTTTGGTCAAATTTTAGCAAAAATTTCAATGAAAAATTCTCCATTTTATTACATTTTCTGATGCATATACATGTTTTTATGTTGTGTAGAAAGTTTGAGCTGACTAAATTTGCTCCAAAATTGAACCAAAGACCCGGCCTGTATACATAGTACAGGATCTTTGGCTTCAATCTCTCTCTCTCTTACCTTCTCTTCTGCTGGTGTCCAGTGTGCATCATGTTCTCAATAACCACAACACGACTCTTATTTCTCTTAGCAACTGATTCAACTTTAGATAATATCAGCAGAGCATCTTCATCTGACCAATTCTGTAGAATATCCTTTAAAAATGAGTGAGGGAGAGAGGTAGATTATTAATGATAATTATTGTTTTAGTGAAATGTGTTCCTCAATATTCAAAGCTTCAATGTAATCCCTGATAAAGACGAGAGAATAAAAACAAAAATTGAGAAAAAATTGAGAAGACCGTCATAGAAAAAATTGAGAAGACCAAACATACAATTTTATGTTGGTCTTCTCAATTTTTTGTTTTTTCTTTCTTCTTTAATTATTAGGGATTATGTGAAAGCATGGTGAAAGGTATCATAACTGCCAAAGCTATAGTTGCTATTGCAACATGTATAGTATGTTTAAGACACCCAAACACTGACATTTACACAACATGCATTTACATAGACAATATATATATATGTATATATATATACTTGGGGCGGTCAAGAGGAAAATGTAGCACGAGGCAAAGCCGAGTGCTACATAAGTTCAGCGTCATTGTGAGTCAGCTCACTACATACATGTACATTGATGTCCCTTCCTCACTTCAAATTTTAATAACATCAAGCAGAACAAGTTTGTTCCTTTCATCTTGAAATCATAATGTTGAAGTACAGCCTACAGGAAGGCCCATGCAGTTCACCACCAATGTCACATATATGAGAATATGATCAGAAATATGGATCATCGACAATTATTGCGGGGGCGTTGAGTCAACATTCCAGCATCATGGAGAAGAAGAGGGTTGGTTTTTAAATGTTCTTATAATCCTTTCCTGTAGACTTCCTTCACAGTTATACTGTGCTCTAATCTATTGGAGCTCAATATCTGTTATTCAAAATCTACTACTATAGTCACATCATTCACCTGATAATTGTTATCATAACTTCATTGGCTCATTTGGTACAGATGAGTCAGCATAAATGTCTTCATTAGTAAGGAAGTTATCAAAGAAGACAAGTCACTCTACACAAGAGGCTGTGATTAGATTGACAACTGTAGCCCACACTCCTTCTTCTTCTGCTTCCCCTCCCCCTCCTCCACTCCCTACAGCACAACCATGTTCATCATTACTGCTAGTAAGACCATCGACAAGATCTAATACAAAATTATCAGATAAAACTAAAACAGTGAGTTCAATTTTTACTTAGTCTATTACTTATACTTCCGGCATTTCTTGAAAACAAAGGAGAAACGTAATGATACCATACAAGATATGATTCAAAAAGATGTCATCAACATTCACCTTTATTGCAGTAAGCATTATTTACTGGCACATATTTATTGTTGCTGTGTCTTCTCTATTAGTTATGGTCGCCTTGTCTCATATCAAGCCACATGGGAATCCATGGAAGTAAACTTATTATTATGAAAAAAAATTTTAAGCATTGTGAATATAAACTAATAATTTTTAAAACACACACTTCACACACGCACAAAGTGTTATTAATTAGACATTGCCTTTCTCAGTAACATTTAGATTTGGTGCCAGCGAATTGGCAGATTCAAAAATGTCGTCCAAATTAGCTTTCAATTGAGCTAAATCATGATCACTCTTCTTCACATTAGCATTGACTTTCTATAAACAAAAAAAATAATAAAAATAATACACATAACAGAAACATCATACCTCTATAACAACTTGTGCTCTACTCAAATTATCATTGACAATGGTCAAATTTTGACACGTTAGTCGATACAGTTTTAATATTCTATCAACAATATTCTTACGGAGGTTAATATTAGCATCACCTAATTTAAACACACAAAAAAACGTTTAATAAGTCACTATAAATCATTGTTACCTAATCTCTTGTGGAGCAACCTACGGTAATAAGAGTGTCGTGTCATTATTAATGTGTGATAATGGATGACAACTTACGAAGGAGGCACCCATTGAGGTTTTCGGAGAAGAGAAGGTGAGTCCCCACTAATGACTGACCCGCCCTCTTCCTTTCCCTGATCCTGTACAGAACTATCAATGTCTACAAAATTAATGATATTTTATAAAAATAAACAATGTGTCTACCTTCATCCTCATCTTCCTCTTCTTCTCCTGTCATTATTTTTCCTTTTGGATGAGACGGCAGCATGTCAGTGTTGATCTCATCCTCGCTACTCTCACTGTCCTCCCCTTGCACTAAAGACGCCATTGTTGGAAAGTCACACCTATTCTATCACCCCGCCCTCTAGATCTACAATGAAAGTAATAGAGCTGAGAGGTAGTAGTGTTTGACTTTTAAAATGATTAAAATTTTCAGCAGTTTATTATAGGTTGTATATGCAAAACAAGGAGAATGGTCTATAAATCTAATGTTTCATTAACATGTGAGTTAATTCAGTATATACTGCAAGTTTGCTTGATTGTTTGACTGATGTGTGTTGTTAGTGTTATGTCAAGTTGTGTGGGGCATTTAATGTCATTATGAGCAAAGAAGATGTGTGTCCATGTCTTTCTGCCAAACTTAAAACAATAAAAACAAACTCTCTTAGCATGGCCTTAGCTCTGGTCAACTCAAGTTGACTCCAATTTTTCCACAGACTTTATGCATTTGATTCAATTATTATCAGCAGAGTGTATTGATACTTAAGCCAAATACATGTAATTTATTGTGCACTCAGCCTTTTCATTATGTTATTAGAGACTTAGTGTTTCTTGAATAATGTAAATGTATAATAAAACTTGCATAACTAACTTGCATCTGTCAAATTTAGTCCAAAATATTCATAAAGTGAAACACAATCAGTTAACCATGTGGACAACTGTTGTTTACTAATTTTATGCTAATTGTTTGTAGCATAAAAGTTTTTGGACATTCATTTAAAATATACATTGCACACTAACAATAACAGTCCGGCTAGACTGCAGACAAAATAATCAATCATTGAGCAGCTGCAACCATATGAGTCAAAAACTATAAAAGAGTGACACAAAACATCCACCAATAGTTCAATTTTATGGAAGAATAATGCATTACTTAGCCTTAGCTGGAGTGCTTTGTGCTCTCTTGCTACAAGTATCTGTGGCACAAATCCCAACGTTAGTAGTATTTAATGGCTTTTTTATTGTTTTTTATTCATTAGATGTTATGCTACACAATACTACTACATCACTACGTATTATACAGAATACTATAGCTATGTGACAGGCTATCACTCTTGTGGATGGTGGGGTGGGAATAGATGTGTCAGTGGTTATGGGTAAGTAAAAAAATTAGCTAAAATACCTGTATCATTTTTTATTTTATTAGTCGAAGATCTCGTCAACGCTCTAGACAATCATTTGCATCACGCTCATATGCTATTTGTTGCGCACAATTTAGTGGAAGTCACCCCAATTGTCAACGTGAGTAATTGTAATAACTCTATCCATTATAATCATATTTGTGTAGCTGTATGCAACCCTTCTTGTGCTAATGGTCGGTGTACTTATAGTTCAGCATCTCGTAGCAATTATTGTTCTTGTAATGCTGGATGGAGTGGAGGAGCATGCAGCATAGGTTTTAATAACTTTTATAGTGCATTGCATGCTAAATGTTGCAATGTCTATAGATATAGATGAGTGTACAACATCAAACTCACCACTGTGTCACTCTCTTGCTAGATGCATTAACACGTTAGGATCATACAGATGTCAGTGTCAGTCAGGGTATGTATTTAATGGAGATGGATACACTTGTACTGGTAAGTATAAAACAATACTGCATCTTTTACTAATACCAACAAATAATTTTTTAGATCTAAATGAGTGTACTAGTGGTGATCACAACTGCCAAGCTGATATTTATTGTGATAATATTGTTGGTGACTACAAGTGTAGGTGTGCTCCTGGTTTTCGAGGAAATGAAACTGACCATCACATTTGTGATGGTAAATAAAATTTAGAATGTATCATAAACTAATGTGAGTTTTATTTGCAGATATTAATGAGTGCAGTGTTGCTAATGGTGGCTGTCAGCAAACTTGTATCAACACTCCAGGCAGTTACTATTGCAGTTGTTTATCAGGATATAGACTCACTAATGACAATACAACATGTCAAGGTACTGTGGTATCATGATGCTCTTTCTTCATTTTTGTATTATAGACATTGATGAATGCAGTGAAGGGACTCATGTTTGTTCTAGTGCCTCTAATAATCATTGCATAAACACAATTGGAAGTTACAGGTGTGATTGTAATACTGGATATCAGGAAGTTAATGGAGTGTGTACAGGTATGCAATAAATAAATTATAATGGCTTATCGATGTATTTCTAGATATCAATGAATGTGCCACTAGTAATGGAGGGTGCTCTCAGATTTGTAATAATACTCAAGGCAGTTTCTTTTGTTCATGTTTACCTGGATATCAACTAGACAGCAGATTTACTTGTGGAGGTCAGTAATGTGTGATATTATAATAGTAGCATTGAAATTATTTTTGTTTATCAGATATTAATGAGTGTGATAGTAATCACGGGTGTCATCATGCTTGTGTTAATTTAATTGGAGGCTACAAATGTGACTGCTTTCTTGGCTATGCATTAGACAAAGACAACTTCACTTGCATACGTAAGCATATATAGAATCAAAGTTTAAAGCACTATCTTCCTGTAGTTCAAGAATGTTCACCAAAACTAACAGTGCCATTAAATGGCAACCTATCTTGTCCAAATGGTCAAGTAACTAACACATCATGTGATACATCATGTGATGCAGGATATGAACTCACTGGACCAGCAGAACGTACCTGTCAACCTAACGGCTCATGGACATCTCCTCCTGCTAGATGTACACCAATGAAGTGTCCAGAATTGGAGCAACCTGAAAATGGATACATTAGATCACCTTGTCCTGAAACTTATGGATCAACATGCTCATTGCAGTGTGTCTATGGATTTGAAGTAGCAAATGGAAGCACATCATTTAATTGTGAATTGACTGCTGACAAGAGCAATGTAGAGTGGACTGAGTTTGGTACTTGTCAAAGTAAGCAAAAAATCATAATAAGCATAAAATATTTTTTATTATAGGAAGACCAGTGTGTGATGATAATACTTGTGTTCATGGGAAGTGCATTGAAATTAGTCAATCTGAGTTTCGTTGTGATTGCACTGGAACACTTTACACTGGTGAGAGATGTCATCGTGGTCTCATTCTTGTTCCTGAGATTGGAGAATTGCAACCTTTCAGAAGTTTTAATTTACAAATAACGACAGCTGTACCTAATGAAACATTGAGACTAGCTTTACGTGAATCTTGTAAATTTGGTGGTGGGGGACTGTTCCTCAGACCTTGTGAAGTTGAATTTGGGCCATCATCAACAACAGCTACTTCTACTATAATTGGTGGTTTTCCAGGAATATATTATTTGAATTTTAATGTAAAAGGACCCAGTGCAAATGACTTTGAAGTCCCTCCACCTGTGGCAGTCATTGTCAGAAGTGGACGAACTCCTTATTATTTCACAAAATTAGACAGTCCATATGTATACAATAGCTGCTGTGAACTTGAAGAATCACAGATGCCTCTTTTAAAATGTGGGTCAAATCCACGAGCTAGTGTTCAGTTTACATCTTCTTGCTCTTGGGAGTCTTTTGGATCCAATGGTTGGAAGACTAGTGGAATCATATTCTCCAATTATAACAATTTATCTTTACCTGTTTCTGTTGCTGGAATAGAGATGTCCAAAACAGATTCTTTGCTTTCTCTTAATGTACCAGCTACCAAACAGTTTCAAAAATGTGAAGGAGATTGCAATGGTGTTTTAAAAGAACTCTCTGGTGATGAGAAGTGCTATGAATATATGCCTACAACTGAGGATTTGAGTGAATTTGCATCAAAACAGTCACTAACTGAAACTTTCCTTGCTGAAGCACAGTTAAAACTACTGCCAAAGTGGCTAAAATTGATTGTACCAGATGACAGTAATGCACTTAAGAAGCTGGTTGAAGCTGATTACCGTGTATCAATTGTTTCTGAAACCGAAGTACTTCAACTAGTTGGCTGTGAGTCTCTCCTTCTTGATACTACTGGACAATTTAGTGTACTGCTTCATAATGGGCCACTGGGTATAAACCTAAATACATCGACACTGAACATTGAACAACAGTCCTTATCTGCTCCTATTAAAGGATCGTTTTACTGTATTGCTGTTGATTTATGCTCTGGAGATGTATCTCCTCTCTATCTTGCTGTTCCTCAATCGATACAAGAAGATATTGTGAGGATTAGCTTTTTGAATAAATTCATTAGGAAAGGATGGAGCTTTAAAATGCGGAGCTTTATATTTTGGGAAAATCCTGTGAAGATGAATGATATTCCAACATTCCATTATTGGAATGGACTGACTCATAATTACCAGTTACCTATGCAAGAATCTGACATAAAAATAAAAATGGCATCAACTGGTTTGTTTAGTTATGGAGAGACAGATGTGTCATTTAGTTTTGATGGTAATGTATCCTACGAGTATACCTTGAAAAGAAGCGAGGTAAGTTTTAGTATATTATTGAATTATTGATTTAATTATTTTTTCTTATAGGCTGATGACTTGATGTCATTTGGTGAGTATTCTCTGAAAGTGACAACAAAAGTTCATGGAAAGCACGAATCTCTTTCACTTCAAAATGTATCGTCTTCAGCATTCATTCACTTCCAAGGTACACTTTGTAGTCTCTTATATTTTCTATTTTAATTAAAATAATGTTAGTTTTTCTGGTTCAAGCTGTTTTCAGCTAATAAAATTTGAGTTACAACAGTTTAGAATAAGCCAATTTTCAAAAATTAGCTGCTAGCCCATGGTTCTAAAAAATGGCTTTGAAATCACCTTAATTGTTTACATTTTCTGATACATATTATTGTACTTATGCCATCTAGAAAGTTTGAGCCGATCCCAACAAGTAATTTTTGAGATATGGCCATTTTTTAAATCAGCAATTTTTTGGCAAAAAGGCAAGGTTACAACCCATGTTTCTTTCGGAAATTGCTCCAAAATCACTCCAAATTTTAAATCCATTTTCTGATTTATATTGATGTCCTTATGCTGTGTGGAAAGCTTGAGCTGATTCCCACAAATATTTAGCATTTTAAAGAATGAGCCAATTTTTCAAGAAAAGCAGCTATAGCCATTTTTAAAATCAGCAATTTTTTGGCTATAGCCAATAGTTTTTCCAAAAAATGGCTCCAAAATCACTCCATTTTTTATTACAATTTTTGATTACATATTATTGTACTTACATATATGCTATCTAGAAATTTTAAGCCAATCTCGACAAATATTTTTGGAATTATTTGCATTTTAAAAGTGAGCCTGTTTTTGGGAAAAAGGAAAGGCTATAGCCCATGGTTTTTTCAAAAAATGGCTCCAAATTTTTATTACATTTTCTAATACATATTGATGTCCTTATGCTGTGTGGAAGTTTGAGCTAATTCCTACAAATAATAGCCATTTTTATAAATCATCAAATTTTTGGAAAAAAGCCAAGGCTATAGCCCATAGTTTTTTCAAAAAATGGCAAATTGCCTTAAATTTGTATTACAATTTTTGATACATATCAATGTTCTGATGCTGTGTAGAAAGTTTGAGCTGATTCTGATTAATGTTTTTTAGTTATGGTTATTAGCATTTTTAAAAATGAGCCAATTTTTGGAAAAAAGCATAGGCCCATGTTTTTTTTCAAAAAATGGCTCCAGATCATCCCAAATTTTTATTACAATTTTCAATACATATTGATGTCCTTATGTTGTGTGGAAAGTTTGAGCTGATTTCCACAAATATTTTTGAGTTATTAGTATTTTAAAAAATCAGCCAAGTTTGGAGAGAAGCTTTAAACTATAACCCATTTTTTCCAAAAAATGGTTCCGAAATCACCCCAAATTTTTATTACAATTTCTGATACATAATTGATGCCCTTATGCTTCGTAGAAAGTTTGAGCTGATTCTGACAAAAAAAATTATAATAAAAACTATAACACAAACTGAGTATCAAGTGTCTTCTTCTTCAAATAGATCCTGTTACATTCAGCTGTTCAACTGGATCAATCCCATCTGGAATATCATTTAAACTCTCTTACAGGGTCGAATCAACAGATGGGTTTTTCTTTAATTTTTTCCAGCTACCATACGATACTTCCTACTGTCCGGTAGATACCTTTATCAACCTTAATTCTCTTCAAGAAATGAATGGCCTCAGTTTTTATTCAAACTGCTTAGAGCTAGTTTATGACTCACTGGTTTTAGGTATGCTATCACACAAGTTTTACATACCAATGGATTCCAATACATTGTGTATTGATCCTCAAGATTTTACAAACTATTTTTCTACTCCTTCTTCATTTGGGTTATGGGTACAATCATCTCTCTCTCCTAGCCACTTGTCATATTATCAATTGAATCCACTTTTCAAGCTTCAACCTGGGAGAGACAGGGTTACTGTGTCATTAGGTTTTTCAGGCACTGCTGATGAAAAGGTTGGACTTCTTCATTCTGTTGAAATTGCAGTGCTTGATGGCATTTTTGAGTCTCCCATCATCTTAAGAGACAAAGAACTCTCTTTTACTGGCTTAACTGTAATATTCAACAATGATTTATACTTGGCACAACTCAAAGGAACTTCACCGGCAACCACTTCATGGGGACAAATGATGATTTCAATTAATGGTTGGTTTCCGCGTTCTGATGACAGATTCCTTGTTAGGTTGGAAGGGAGCGTCAGACAGTATGTCAGAAACATAGCAAATCGAGCTAGAATGAGACTTGGAACTGCTGATGATGAAGTCAGTGCTGCTAGTGATGGAGTACAGACTGCAACTACAGCTCTTGGAGATGTACAAGTTCAATTTACTGCTGCTGAACAAGAATACCAACAAAGACTAAGTAATAAAAACAGACTAGAGTCTGAACTGGTTGAAGCTGAAGAAGTTTTACAGAATGCAACCGGTGAGTTGAAAATGGCAGAAGAAGCTATTGCTGCTCTGTGTCAAATCGAAACTTGCACTCGTATGTGTGTAAGCACATCAAGACCTCAAATAGTTACTGAGGATGTTTATAAAACTGAAACTGTGAGTTGTTCCTCTTTTTGTCCTAGAAGAAGTTACAGAAGTGTACCACTATATTCTTTCTGGAGATTTCGCTGGCGCTGGCAATGGCGATGCTATGGCAGAAGTATATTTTGTAGACTTTTTAGATTATGTATATTTAGACGTTGTAGATCAGTATGTGCCCCATACTGGTATTTCCATACTATTTGGCACACTGTTCCTTACACTTATAATGTTCCTTGTGAGAAGCCATGCAATAGAACAGTGTTTGTAGGCCGTATAAAGAAAACTATAATGGTAACTGATCCTTGTGGCAGTACTGTCCCTGATGCTACTTGTGCCCGTACAAATGAACTGTGTCAAAACCAAAGAGATTCTGCTTTTGGTTTAATTGATGAAAAACGTCAAGACCTTACAAATCCACTTCGTCAACATAACTCACTCAAACGTCAAATATCTATTGCTGAAAATAATTTGCAGAAATCATCACTTGCAAGAGACAGGGCAAGAGATAAAGTGTTGAGAGCTCAGACACAGGTTGATGAAGCTGAAGAAAGAAGAAATGCAACTTTACGCTTGCAACAAACTATCCGTGAGTCAGATGACATTGGCTACAAAGCTAGTGAGCTATTGAAGAGTTCTGATATTGCTAACGTATTCAGTATAGCAAACATCTCTTTCACAGTAATGC